ATAACAGTTCTTTAATAATTAAAGCGAGCTGGTGGAAAATTGCAGCTTTCGCACACACTATATAACATCAACAATTGTTTGTATCATTATGTTTTCTTCTTACAAGAAATACAAAATGTCACCCTCACTTTATCCCCCCACCCCCAACAAAAAAGAACACACACACACACCTCCCCGTCACGCGCACACATTCATGCACCTAAAGCACATTTCATACGTACTCGTACAAATAACAGATCGTTTTAGAGGACTATGTCATATATATGACAAATATTTCTAACATTTATTTAATATCTTAGTTTCTCTGTGAACCGGCCCATACACCAAACATGTACTACATATCTAATAGTTCATATATATTTCCATAGTTGCTTTTAATATGATACACATATACATGGACATTCTTTCATTCCCTAAACAATGAACTCTTTGAAATGCTTAACAATATAGCTCTAAAAATATACAATATGATTGTTGTCTCAACACATCTAATCGTATCATATAACTTGGCACTTTACGTATACGTGTTGTATCTATAATCTTACATATTTTACTTCTGATCAATCGGTCACTATTCCTTAAGTGTTCCTTTTATGAATGAAACAAAGGTCACGAAGAAAATCTTATATTTTTTCGCGAACATGAAATTAGCCATTTAATACCTGACATTTCACATTTTAAATATTCTAATCACAGCTACGTACTTATTTACATTTACATCAGTATATTTAAACCAAGTCGCAAACATACATGTGCATAATAAACATCATTGTAAAAGGTCACTCAGCAATATTTACGTAGAAGAGTTTTTTTTTTTTTTATATATCGTGTTATATTTTAAATTATCCAAATAGAGGTTCGACTATTGAGAAAGTTTGGGTGTTTTCGCAATTTTTTTTTAATATGATAGTCTGTGCTACGTAATTGTAATACTATCGGAAGAAAGCATAAATACTACATAATCATAGCCCAATATTTATGATTCTGTTGTCAATTTATCTGGACATGACGTTTCTACTCTACAATTACAAACAAATGACTCTGTGTCGACTAGGTTGTTGAAAACTGCAGATCTCATGTTTTTCTTTCTTTCTGTGCTACTCTGAATGAAAATAAAACTTAAAAGGCACCTCTGAATAACCCTATCTTTTATATCTTTTCTTCAACCAGTGAAAGCAACAGTTTATATGCAGTCCCCACGCAGTAGGCCGGTAAAGATATAGAATAATGTATCCACAGAATCTCGAAACATGCATACATGTTATTTCATCTCTCACAACCTTATTGTTTTAAGAACTGTTTTCTTTCAACATTCGACAAAAAGGAGCGTTGCATTTCACCGGACTGCAGAATTACCAGTGCGCTAGAAAACACTTATGAAGCTACTAAACATATAGGCCAGTCATATAAAAAGAAAAAAAAACGTAGATAATAAAGGAATGCTTAGACATCTTCATGAAATATATAGAAAATGTGATGGTTTGATTTGAACAACATTAACAAATGTAGCCATGTTAGTCTTTGTAATATGTTACCTTATGACAACACAATGAATCCGATGAATTATTTAATAAATAACTATATACAACAAAGCTTTTCAAACCTGAAAAAAAGTTTAAGTTAATCTAATTTGTTCATCTAATTGAGTCCAAATAAATGTCCCCAGCATAAGTCGATAAGTTCAGAGACGATGTCAATTTTACAATAGGTACATGATTGAAAAACAAAACCAAAGGGCACTAGGCTCCCTGTAATTATTTATGTATACGGTTTGGACACACCTTTCGCAAGTGCTTATAATTTCCATTAAATTTAATAGTTTGTTGCAATATTCTACGAATAGAGAGGCCACGTCTTCTCCCTTACGCCAAGGTGACGTATTTTCTTGCAATATTTACAATATTTTAAATCAGTAAACATCTATCTTTATATAACAGAACGATTTGATGTTGGGTTAACATTTCTAGCAAAAAAACACGAACAAAGCGTTTAACATTATTTACAACAAATATGAAACAATACAGTATATAATGTGTATGGTACAGATTGAAAAACAGCCATAGTGGTAAATATATAAAGTATAATACATTTGTATACATGCATGTAATTGAGATATACATATATTTAAATATTCGAATATTTTAATTGGAAACACGTTCAATAAAATTACATTTTGCTTTATTCTACATTGCGGTGTAACATTTGTCAATATTTTACGCCAAGTACGATTGCATGTTATGATAATATATACCAATGAGTAACGTAATATTTTTGAAGCATAGTTATCTTGTTTCAGAACATGCATGACAAAAATGTAGAAGAAATTAGTTTTACAACTTCATGAATATACTGTAGGTCCTCAGACTTCAGTTCATGTCATATATATATTGATATGGCATGTGTATTCTTATGCCTATGATCAGAAAGTCTCGAAAAAATAATATTAATAACATTAAAACGGTATTTTGTGTACATATACTTTTTTTCATTTAAAACATTTTGTTCCATTTTAGAATACCTATTTTAGAATGATTTGTTTTCTCCTTTGCAATTTGCCAGAATGAAATAATCTGCAAATGATGTTGTTGTTGATTTCCTTCACTCTAAAATAAGTGGGGAAGATCTATGTTTGGTTTAAAAAATGGAACATTCGTTTCTCTTTGAAAAGATTTACTTTCTATTGGCTTAAAATGTACCCAACAAACTTACATGTCCCTCTTCTACCTAAGCTGTCCACAATTTTACCCAATTCTGTTTACTGAAATACAGCAGCCACAGTTGTAGAGTTGGCGGTTTTTGGAAATTGATGCGCAAGCTTCTATCAAAGCCTTCACTCTCTACATTAAGAAAGTAAAGTTGATTTTTTTTTTGGAAGGCTTTACTGTCTAAAGCCTACGTGAATGATAACTTAGTTCAGTATTCATCCGATGCAATAGACGGTTCTAATCTCCAGAATGCTAATGCTAAACCTGATTTCGTTTTTTCACTATTGAATTGAATCATTGAATTGAATCAAGGTTTATTAAAAAAAACATGTGTCGCTGCCCAATGGCTGAATTGGTCATGTGTACAATTAAAACACTCATTGGATATTTCAAACATAAAATACAGTTACAATTGATTTTTCAACATAGAAATATATAGAGTTACTATGATAAGATTGCATGGGCAGCAAAATAAGAAAACAGAATATAACATTAAGTCAGGACAACGGGGAGGAGAAACATGAAGAAAAAAATTAAAAGAGGAAGTTGTAGAAAATGCATGTACATAAAAAAAAAAAATTGCATAAATGTATTTTAAAGAGTCATTTAGACAATATACGAATATAAAAAATAGAAAAGTACCTATTCTTTTCATAACATTGTTGAAGATTGATATTGCAAGTATTTGTATTATTGCATAGAGAAATGATATTAAAAATAAAACAATTATGGCACTCTAACATTCCTTTTCCTTAAGATATAAAGTGTCTATTGAAGTGTTATTTTGGTTTGTTATTATCTAATGGAGAGTAAAAATCAGGAAACTTCAACATCTGTGAAAAGAGTATACTACAAATAAAACATGTATTTTAATTTATCTCATTTTATTAATTGGGCTTGGCTTTATTGAGAAGTAAGGTATGGGGTTATTTCGGAAGCGATTGGTTTTGCACTTGAACTGTTGATATCTAGATGCATGGCGTAAGGAGATGGGTACGTTTTTTCCGGAGAGGTAACCAGGTACTACATGTTGGGTGCTCAGCTAAGGATGTAGCAAAATCCAGACAAAGCTTTACCCTTCTAGGAAAATTTATTGTCTTTCTTGCAAATCAAATGGGTTTGTGATGATATGGATGCAGAATGATACCACTAAACCCTGCGTCCTCCACAGGAGCGGGCTTGTGTACTGACTCCACAGGACCGGGCTTGTGTACTGACTCCACAGGACCGGGCTTGTGTACTGACTCCACAGGACCGGGCTTGTGTACTGACTCCACAGGACCGGGCTTGTGTACTGACTCCACAGGACCGGGCTTGTGTACTGACTCCACAGGACCGGGCTTGTGTACTGACTCCACAGGACCGGGCTTGTGTACTGACTCCTCAGGACCGGGCTTGTGTACTGACTCCACAGGACCGGGCTTGTGTACTGACTCCACTGGACCGGGCTTGTGTACTGACTCCACAGGACCGGGCTTGTGTACTGACTCGAGGAGAAGAAGACTTCCTTGTTCTGATATGACGTGGGTATACCAAGGCGTCTTTTGTTTCCTTCAATGATGACGTAAAGTCTCATAAGCTTCAAATATCTTATAACGCAGAGCTTCGTAAAGACGCGCGTGAACATTGTGGCGCTTTTATTTATTCATTTATTATTTGTATAATTATTATACTTATTATATCAAGTCATTAAAACAAAAATTTAGACGGGAATGATATTATGTAGATATCAGTGGTATATATTACGTTTGAACCCTCTCTTAATCATGGGTTTGCTTTCTTATATTTCTAGTTATTTCTAGTAATGACCACGTTTGCGGCTTCAGACATACTTCATGCAAACTGTCAGTAATAAAACTATTATTAAGAAATTTGTTGAATTAACAGGAGAGGGAGAGGGGGAGAGAGAAAGAGGGGGAGTAAAAGGAAGAAAGAGGGAGATTAACGAGAGTAAAGGGGCCGTGAGGGGAACAAATTAAAGTATTGTGCACACACTATGAACATGACAGACAATGAAAGCGGACAAAATATACAGTTCCTCAGGAAAACAAAGGAACATCCCTTCACTGCTATTATGTAAAAATGTGTAGAACAGGTGAATATGCATGTGACACCTGTTCTACACATTTTTACATAATAGCAGTGAAGGGCTGTCCCTTTGTCTACCTGAGGAACTGTATATTTTGTCCGCTTTCATTGTCTGTCATGTTCATAGTGACAGAGAGGTGAAGAAAATAAATAGAGAGACAGAGAGGGAATGACGGGACGGATACATAAAGACAGATAGAGAGAGAGAAAGATAGAAACCCGAAAGCTTGCCCGAGACTTGCCCAACATAGCACCAAGGTATGTATGCACCCAGGCCTGCTTGCACCATGGATTCCAGGTATTGTAGTCCATTCATTAAAAACAGGTTATTAGAATAACTCGTCTCTAGGTGCCCAGGAAAGAAACATCCATAAATCTGAACATGTTAGTTAAGCTGTCTACTGTGTCAAGACAATTTACTCTGACGTATTTCCACAGTACCCTCGATCCGTGGATTGTGTAACGTAGACAAACAGGTGTCGTGAAAAACCTTTCATCTAAAAATTCCATTTAAGAAATCCAAAAACCGCATTAGCTCTCAAATCTATTAGACACACCATCTGTTCCGACAGATTCCGTGTAGAAGCATAATGGATTCTTTTTTCACATGCAGAGAGTCCTTTATTTTTAGCTGTGGAAGGTTGGCATGTAAGTATATCATATTGCACATACATTATCACACCCAAGCCTCTGTTTTAATTTCTTCCACTACTTCAAGTGAGTTGCTAGCTATTACGACTATTCGATATATTTTGCTAGATCTCCAACATCTATCTCCTGAAGAATAGTCTTCAGTTGAGCCATATCACCACCAGTCCTTGTTTTCCACTGTGCCAAGCAAGACCTAGTAGCTCTCTGGTAGTCATTGGAAACTCGAAGTAGGATCTTGTCAGCTTCGTAGTATTCGATGCCAAGATGTGTGCATAGCGATGTGTATTTCTCAGCAGGCATGCGTTTCGACAGCCTGTCTAATATTGCATCTGATTGGAGATCAAACCTGAGGAATGAAACGATTAATACGATCTTTGCAAGTCGGTGGTGTAACTTCATAGTCAAAGATATGTCGCATGATGATGATCATGATATTAATAATGATAATAATAATATGATCATAATAATAATGTTAAAGAATGTTCACTTATAGTCAACTCATCAGCTGCAATACTATTAACACTTCCTGGGGCCCTGCTTTTATTATTACCTAGCAATCGCCAGGTACTCATTTACACCTGGGTGGAGAGTGGCAAATGTGAATAAATGGCTTGTCAAAGAACCTTTGTGACGTGGTAGGATTCCAACCATCAATCCCTGGATTAAGAGGCAAGTTAATGAATAAGTGTACCACGAAACCTCCTGATTGTTAGTGGACTCGGAGGCGACCATAACCGCCTATTCTGCACACTTTAAGGAATGGTATCCACAAAATATGCCTTCTTGCGTAATAAAATACAAAACGGGTACAGGAAGGGCCAATAAATGTAATATTAGGGACTTTTAGATTCGCACGAAGACAATGGGGATTGCTACGATCGACGTCCTTTTAATGCACTGCCTTGAATGGACGTCACACGTATCAGACCACGCAAATCTAAAAGTCCCTATTATCTTTTAGCGTACTAAGTACACATCTACAAAAGGTATCCTGCTTTCACAAAGCGGGTACTTACGAATTCACTTCTGTGTTTTAATCGTGAACAGGTTACCCTTTTTAGCACTTACATGCTATTGGAAAATAAAGGTAAATATAATACTCATTTGTTCGTGAACTTCCCTGGAAATTAACCTTTTTCTATATCTGATTTGAAGTATGTAATTTTGGGATCACTTCTGGAAATGTTGATAACTTGAATAACTCCGCCATATAGCGAGAGAAATACATCTCTATTAGTATTAAAGTTAAAAGAAGACCTTGTTCATAACCCATTTTATGTATCATTTAAATTGAGTCTTGATATTACAATGTGAAAGAAAGTGTGTGAAAGCAATTGGGAAAGGTTGATCTACCAATTGGTGCATACTTTGGGGTTTAAGAATGATACAAATCTAACGAAATTAAAGAATTCTTGGTGAATATATCATGCACTCAAGACAAAAGATCCGAAACTTTCTGTTACTTCTAGTAATATTTCAAATAAAAGGGCATTTGGAGAGCAATCTATTTCAGGCGACATTTCTATGAAATTCTTCCGAACTGACGTACACAGATTAAGAAAGCTCACAAAGTGCTTTTTATTTTCACCAGAACTCAGCCTACTCTTTCAAATATATTATAGATCGTACATACCCTGATTGCGTTGACACCTCTGCTGCTTGTAAACTGGCATGCATGGGAAGGGATGCTCCTCCTGCTGCTGCTATTGTTTCCACTGTTGGTGTTGCTGGCGCTCTTGTTTTTGTTGTAGCTGCATAAATTTATATTTAAAAAAAGAAAACTGTTTATAAATATGTTAATTCATTTAAAGTCAGGTCAATTTTTGTTAATGTTTTAGGCTGGTTTTAAAACAATTGTTGCATAGAACTTAAAAGACTATTATTGATAATTGTTACTGTTTTATAGATACTTTTTTCTTCTATTATTGGAGAAGTTGAGATACTGCTCTCTTCCCAATGCCTCATCTAAGTGTATAAATATATGAATAACTATATCCTGTTTAAACTGGCACTACTCCATTTGAGAAACACTCATGTCGAGATTACTTCTATACTTGTGTCATGATATCGAATAGTAGAGTATTAACTGTTGAAGAAGTAAAATGTGTCACATGACACATACATATTGAACTTTGAATGAATGTATCCGTTTATGATAATGTTTGAAATACCCTGTACCTCAATTAAATTTACTTTATATGCCTTATTCATCATATTCGGTATTCAGTCATTCATCATGGGTTTTACGCGAAGGCTAATGCGGAATTTATCTCGTGTTATGCTTATAAAGATTATTTATGCTAAATAATTATGTATGTAAATATTATGCTTTGCTCGTCATAACTTAGATTTTTCGGGGGGGGGGGTATTGTTCTTCCATTTTTTCTTCATTATATGACCAAAATAAAGTATGATTTATACATTTCTATTTTTCATAGGACCCCATTAGAATAAGCTAATTAACAGCATTAAAAGCCTATCCAGTCAACACATATATTTCCTTTTTTAAACATTATGATCGTCAATAGCTTCAAATTAAGGTGAAATTCATGTTGAATAGTATCCGCAACGTTAAAGATTGCTTTAATGCTGTTACATGTGAGTAACTTATGAACTCATTCATTTTGTTGAACAAATTTTAAACGGGGATCGAAAGTTACTTCAAATGAAACAAGTACATTATTCAGATTTGTCGGTCGTAATTTTTCTCAGAAGTCAACCAAGTTCCACAAAACATTGTCTTCAAATCACGTAATTATTAGTCTTTTAGACTGTTAGATCAAAGTGTGTAGCTTGTGGTCCCTCCATCATACATACCATCATATTTCAAGTCGAAATGAATCGGGGTAGGGTTAAAGGTAGACTCTGTTTGATCCAAGGTGAATTCGAGAAACCTTTGGCTTTCCCCCGACTCGAGTGGCTCCACTTCAAAGGAGAATTGTTTACTTTGAACGAGTTTCATTTCCCTTTTACCTAGTATCTATTTTAAAAGAAGAAGAAATTCAAGTAAATCTGAGTTCATTTTCTCATTAAAAACAACTTAAAAAGCATAACCTGAAGTTAAAACACTACCACACACTCTAAAATGAAACAAGAATATTTGTAAATGTTATATAAATCACATACTCATGACTAGGTATATAAGGGAAAATAAAAAGGTGAAAAAGAGATAGTTCAAGTTCAAGTTTTATTTCCACATCTGACTTTAAAAAACATAAATACAATTTAAATGCATATATACAATAACAAACTCTAGAGATAGAGAGGGGAGATGTGCTGAATTATTAGTTCTGTGAATTAAAGTAGTTGTCGGTAGTAAGTGACATACACTTTCTTATTCAAAAAAATCATAGATTATAAGATTTCATGTGGGTGCGTGTGTGGTTGGCTGCTGTGCACAGGCGCGTACGCAGGGGGGGGGGGCGTTGGGGTCGAACCCCCCTCAATTTTTGTGTGTGTGTGTGTGTGTTTTGAAGAAGAAAAAAAACCGTCATTTTTTTCTTCGAATTAAAACAAAAAACAAAAAAACCTTACCCCCCCCCCCCCAACGGAACGAAATGTCGATCGGCCAATTTTTCACATTTCGGGACAAAAAAAAATGTGTTCTTATCCCCCCCCCCCTTTTTTTTTATTCAGCTGCTGGGTAAGTCGTTGCGATATTTTTTGGACCCCCCCCCCCAAAAAAAATAAAAAAAATAAAAATAAAATAAAAAAATGCCCTCTTAAAGTCGTTGCGAAATTTTCGGCGCGATTTTTAAATTTTAACCCCCCCCCCTTCGAGAAAAAAATCCTGAGTACGCGCCTGGCTGTGCATATGCATGTATTACCGTAACCCAGAGAGAGAGAGAAAGAGAGGGGGGGTATATTAAATTAAACTAGAACTGCAATCGTATTATAAGTATATCCATGCAATGACGCCCGGGCTTCTACGTGACAGACTAAAGAGCATCTCTCGCACTATCTAGAGCAATTTGTAAGAAATCTGTAGCATCAAGGATGGTTGAGATGGGAAGGCCGAAAGAAAGGCCTTAAAAAAAAAAGCCTAGAAAGACAAAATGGCGCCTGGACGGTTCGTGTGGCTGCCTCCGTTTACAACTAGCAAACCGAGGAGTTTCGACAATTACACAAACACCCTAAAGTTGTTATTCACAAGATTGAAATGACGAGGTACGAAGATTCAGTTAAAGTTCACGAACTGTCGTTTATTCACTGGTCGTATGGTCACCCAACCTTCAGATAACAATCTGTAACACAACAGAAAGAGAAACAAACTACATAATGTTCATACTTATGAGACACTACAACAATGCATGTGCATATATATCATATCAAAATAGCTTAACAAAGTGATTGAACCTACATATAACTTAAACTGACTACATGTATGCACTCCAAAACTGTCTCTTTGTTTTATAAGCAACAAGTTATAAACCTTGGCTAGACAATGAAAATATGAGTCAACTTGCATGTATGTAATTAACTAATTACGCAGTCTATTTACATATATATGCTGCAACAAAACAACTACAAGTATAAAGAATAATATCCTACTAGATAAGAAAGTACCTGTCTTAAAATACATTATAATACATTATAATGCAGTCACCACCATCTCAGTGGCACTGTAACAAACATGCATAGAGAGCTGAAGAAAGGGATAGAGAGGGAGAGAGAGAGAGAGAGAGGGGTGGATAGCGATACAGAGAAGAGAGAGAGAGAGAGAGAGAGTACAGTACAATGCACGCATCTCCTAAGTACACTGGAAGAGCACACACATAACTTTCCTTGCCCTTCAAGTTCCAAACTATATATAACAAACAAGAAAGATGTCTAATATTCTCTCCTAAGCTTACATTACTTCATAAAACAATTCAACATTAACTACCACTATTATATTAAGTGAGTTCTTACCAATTCGGGTCTGTAAAATGCTCCACAATCACTGGAAATCAAACTTTTGAAGACGGTTGCAACTAGCAACTTCACTGTTGAGACATTCACTTGAACACTGATGATATACTGCCTCTACACATAATATGCGATACATCTACAACACAAGTGCCTAAACACAGAATGCATACCCATACATTGTATGCAAAGTACTTTCATTTAGCACTATAAAACAAGGGAGCTTCTGTTATATAAGACAAGGGGGCTTTTGTTGACCTAAGATAACAGCAGTACAGGCCTAATACATTGACATTGGTAGTCTATGAATTCAGACTGAGTTAACTAGTCTTCAATACTAGACCTTATTTAACGAAATCTTGTAACAATCCTCACTACACACTGCTGTAGTGACGTGGCTTGAGGGATTTCGGTGAACTAAGATTCAAGTGACCTTGATTGGATGCCGGAGATTATGCCTACGATGTTTGAAAGAAATTGGGATCGAGGAAGGGACCTAGATTTTGGAAATGATGAGCATAGCAAATACATTTAAGGGATACAATGAGAACATTTGAAATGACACAAATGAAAGTGACAGCCAGTTGTTAATACTATTGCAGCTGATAACTGCCACTTTCGAGTCGGGGTACATTTGTGGAGTTTAAAAGAGTAATATTTTTCACAAGAATCGCTGTTACTCATATGGTTGATACTCTCAATGTAATATACATTGTCATGTTAGGGTCATGTAGTAGGTGAGAATGTGTTTTTATTGATACAATATTTTGTCAATATGAAATTAATCATCAATTATATTCTATCAGCTTTGAAATTTTTCTAAGGACAACATAAGTCAGAGTTGATATATTTCCCGCAGTTCGGTTGTTTCCTTGTACTTGCTGTTGTTCTGCAATTGCAACTTTAGGCATCAACAGGTAATTATTGACACATGGTCATGCTTTAAATTGGTTTGATAAAACAGCTCACAAGTATCATTTTTTCAGCTAAAACTGATTCGTCCTTAAAATGATTTTGTTTTTGTAAAATCAAAATCAGTTCTTGTTGATAAAACACCCGTTTTTTAAATGGCGTCTAAAGTGCCTCCCTTGACATATTGTCAAAAACCGGGTTTAGGATGTCTTGCTATTTACGCCGCCCAGAGTATACATGCACGATTTCAAGGGAAAAAAATATTTGAAAGGGGGCAAAAAGCCTCCTGAAAGATGACGTCATAGCCAATACGTGTTATAATCGTGTTCACATTTTCTGCCCGAACAAATACCGTATTTGGTATCATTTAAAAAGGCAGTTCATTGCGGTCAGTTTGACACCAATGCTTTGCATGTAATGTATTGCAAGCATTATTAACGGGGTATAATGTTTTGCATAGTAAAAACATATGGCCGTTACTTTACGATGACGTCATCAAATTATAACATATTTGGCAGACAGTTGTCAAGGGTAAGAATACATATCTGTCTCCTGAGTTTCATTGACGTAGGTATAAAGATCGCCATCTTATAGCAAGTTGAAGTTATTTTGCAATTTTCTTGACAAATCACTGCGAATTTGGATGGCAATTTCCTTTAAGTCGGTGAATGTAAGGGTGTATAGTACTTAGCTTGAAAGGGCATATCTTGAAGTATCTAAATCAACAAAAGTACGGGTGTGGCCAAACACGATGGAGCTACGGCCACAGAAAGAAAGCTACATGTATTATTTTTAAGACCGTCAATGCTACTGGGCCAGAAGGGATTAGAACACACAGCGAGGGCACTGACAGGTGGCTATCGCATTAACTCAGCTCTCAACTAACATAAGAAAAAGAGAATCATAGGGGACCAACAGGCACCGATTGGGGAAGTTTTCTATATAGAGGGAGCAAGTAGCTACAAGTAGGACAGTGGGGCCTTAACTTTAGAGGACGCTATTTTTGTTATGCGTAACTACATGTGAGTAAAATTATAGATGGCAATGTGCAATGATAAGATGAAAATAGTGTACGAATTTGAGACAAAACTGAATCAATATAATAAAGTTATGGCAATTGATGGGTTTTAGGTGTAAGTTTTTTTTAAAGAAGATTTTTAAAGGATTCCATTTAGGATTTGAATTTCGAGTACGAAGATGGCATTTTGAAATCAGGTTATGGATCGCAGATGAAAGAACATCTCTTTGACTATCTAAATGAATTTATTAGAAGTCTGTAGGATCTAGGATAGTGGAGATAGAAAGGAAGAAGAAAGGTCTTACAATGGACCAGAAATGGACAAAATGGCGCCTGGACGGTTACGCATGAGTGATTTCGAAAAACTAAGATTTAGATGACTTAGATTAGATTTCAGAGAGTACGCCTACGAAATGTGAAAGGAATCGGGCCAGAGAACAAAAGACCTAAATAGGAAGAACAAGCACTGCGTGCAAAGCGAAAGGGATTTTTGGCATAAGAGAAGAAGAAGACGACAAAGAAGAAGAATAAGAATTCAGAATGGAAACAAGACATTGACGACGAGTCGTAAATGCAATAAGAATTCAGAACGCGAACGCGAACGAAGATAAGTCATTGACGAAAGTCGTCAATGCAATACAATTCTTACAATTGACCATTTTCCTAATTCATTAAATTCGTTTCACGTACCTTTGATAAGTGCCTCGTTATAAATTATTTCATTCACATGTTACGAATAATAATATTTCAGTAGTCAGAATGCGAATTGCATACTTCAATTGTTGGTTGGTAGGACAAACATTAGGCTTCTGCATTAAATTTCATTACATTAAACAAAAATGGCCTATTTTCTTTAGTTATCCATATACCCATAGCTTTGAAATACAGAACATACCTTTTTGCCAATTTTTCTTCCTGTTTCCATTGAGCCATCGAACAAGGCGATATTGATATCACCACACCTCCATTCTACGAACATTTGCTGGGGCGGATAGAGCATTCTGTACTCCTTCATATTTGTGTTTGTTTTCTGTTGGGGCAAAACATAATTTATGGTAAAGAAGACCTCCCACCCTCCCCCTCAATTTCTTTCTTTGTTTATATATATATATATATATATATATATATGTATATGAATATATAAAGAAAGAGAGAAAGCTATATAGCTATAAACAAATATATTTTTCTTTTTACAATTCTAGGGTATACATTACATATTAAGTTACACAGAAGGAAAATACCCCCCCCCCCTACAGCAACTAATTCAGAACGACATAAAATCATAAAATAGC